AGACTGTTGGCACTTGACCTGGTGTGTTTCAAGATCAAGAGAAGATACACAAGCTTAAGATCTCTGCCACAAGAGGGAGCAAGAAGCATGAAGCAGGTGTAGCCATAGAAGGTCTGAGAAAACCTCAGAATCTCTAGCAGGGATGATGGGAGGTCTTTCTCTCCAGAAGGCAGTTAAGACCGGAGGAGAGATTGTTACTTTAAATGCAAAGACAACAATGCAAAACTTCAAGGGAAAGAAAATCAAGAAAACATGACACAACTAAAGGATCATGATAATCATCCAGTAACCATCCCAAAGACATGGACATCTACAACTTATCCAATAAATAATTCAAAATACTTGTTTTAGGGAAATTTAATTAGCTACAAGAAAACACAGAATGACAATTCAAAGAAATCAGCGAACAATACATGAACAAAATAAAATAAAAGTTTAAGAGATAAAAATCATAAAAAAAAAAGAATCAACCAGAAAGTCTGGAGCTGAGAATACAATGAATGAAATGAGTAATATGATATATGCAAAGGAGAAACGCAATAGAGAACATGAACAGCAGAATGAATCAAGCAGAAGAAATAGACCGAGTTATAAGACAAGAACCTTTGAATTATATAGTCAGAGGAGAACAAAAAAAAAGACAAAACTGAAGAAAGCTTACGTGATCTGTGGGATACCATCAAGAGAATGAATGGCAAACTTTTGAAATCCAGAGAAAGAGAGGAATAAAGCGACAGAAAACTTCACAGATCTGGGGAGAGATTTGAATATCCATGTTCACAAAGCTCATAAGTCCAAAGAAACTCAGAGATGCCCTCCAACACACATTATAATAAAATTGTCAAAAATCAAAGAAAAGAAATCTTAAAACCAGCAAGAGAAAATAAACTTGTAACTTAAAAAGAAACTCCCAGAAGGCTCTTAGTGGATTTGTCAGCTATGAAAATGTACAACATACTGATAAAGGTAAGTATGCATCAAATACAGAATACTCTAATACTGTAAAGTGGTGATGTGTTATCCACTTAACTTTAGTATAAAGGTTAAAAGACGAGTATTAAAAATAATTTAGCTATCACAATTATTAATGAATACACACATGAAACTGGTAAATTGTGACATGAAAAACATTAAAGGGAGGAGTAAATGAGTCGTTTTTGGTGCAACTGAAGTTTAGTGTTATCAGCACAAAGCAGACTGTCACATCTAGAGGATGTTTCATATAGGCCTCTTGGTTATCACAGAGCAGAAACCTATAGCAGATTACTAAAGATCAGAGGGAATGAAAGCATACCACTATGCAAAATTATCAATTCACAAAAGAATACAGCAAGAAAAGGAAGAAAGGAACAAGGGAACCACAAAACAGCCAGAAAACAATAAGATAGTCCTCACCTATTGATAATTACTCCAAGTGTAAATTGATTGAATTTTTCAATCAAAAGACAGAGTGGCTAGATAGAAAAAAACAAAACAAACAAACAAAGAAAAGCGCAGGACCAGATGTTTCTCTGGTGAATTCTACTAAACATTTAAAGAACCAATGCCATTCCTACTCATTACCCTGATACCAAAGTCAGTAAGGGAACTACAAGAAAAGGCCAATATCCACTATAACTATAGGTGTAAATATTAGCAAATGGAACTCAACAGCACCATCATCAAGTGATATTTATCCTTGGGCTGCAAGGATGATTCAACATAGGAAAATTAATAAACGTGAAAGTTAAAAAAACTATATTATCATCTTGACAGGTGCAGAAAAAAAGCATTTGATAAAGTGCTTAGACTCATTTTTTTAATCTTTCATGATTAAAAAAAGCATCAAAAAATTGGGATAGAAGACGTGTACCTCAATACAATAAAGACCACATATGACACCCTTACAGCTAGCATCATGCTCAACAGTGCAAGTCTGAAAGCTTTTTCTCTAAGATCAGGACCAAGACAAGGATGTCCATGCTCACAGTCCTATTCAACATAGTACTGAAGGTACTAACCAGAGCAATCAGACAAGAAAAAAATAAATAAAAGACATTCTAATCAGAAAGGAAGAAGTAAAAATGTCTTTGTTTGCAGATATGATTGTATATATAGAAAATCGTACAGATTCCACCAAAAAACTGTTATAACCAACCAACAAATTTGGTAGAGTTGCAGTATAACCAGTTGCATTTCTATACATTAACAACAAATATCTGGACAAAAAGAAAGAATCCCATTCACAATAGCATACTTAGAAATAAATTTATCCAAATTGATATACAAATTTAACTCCATTCCTATCAAAATTCCAGCAAGATTTTTTTATAGATATAGATAAGAGTATTCTAAATTTTTTATGGAGAGGAAACTGAACTAGAATCACTAAAATAATTTTGAAAAAGGAGAACATGGCAGAAATCACTCTACCTTATTCTACAGCTATAATAATTAAGTCTGCATGTTATTGACAGAGGAATAGGCACATAAATGAGTGGAACAGCACAGAGAACCCAAGCATAGCCACAAACAAATACAGACAGCTGGTTTTTGACAAACGTGAAAAATCAATTCAATGGAAGGTAGTCTTTTCAACAAACGGTGCTGGAGCAATTGGACTTCCATCAGCAAAAATATGAACCTTGACCTAACAACATCTTATACCGAAATTCAAAATTAATTAATCCAAAATTAATGGCACATAGACTTAAATGTAAAATATAAAACTATAAAATGTTTATAATATAAGAAACCATATGAGAGAGTCTTTGGGACTTAGAGTTAGGCAAAGAGTTCTTACACTTGATACTAAAGCATCTATATATATAAAAGCCAAGCGACCAGAACAACAGAATGACCAGAAAGACTGGAATGACGGTCGCTATGACACACACTGCGGCCGCCAACTGGCCCTATCTGAGCCCCGATCGGCCCCCCGCAATCTCCCGTGGCTTTTCTCCCCAGCCGGCCCAGGCCCCAATCAGGGTGGAGGGGGGCCAGATGGACCCCACGTGTGCACAAATTTTTCCACCGGGTCTCTAGTAAACCATAAAAGGAAAAATTGACAAATTGGACTTCATCAAAATAAAAAAAACTTTTACTCTGAGAAAGACCCTGTTAAGAATATGAAAGACAAGTTACCAGCTGGGAGAAAATATTTGCAAGCCACATACATAGCCAACAAAGGACTAGCATCTGGAATGTACAAAGAATTCTCACAATTCAACAATATAGAAAAACGCCACCAGACCTTGGACTGAGGAGGATACACAGTTGGCTAATAAGCACTTGCTTAAGCATCAGAGAAGAGTCATTACCCTGCTCTTCCCACGAATCTTAGCAAAACTCCCCAATTCTCCGGAGTTCGTCCCTGGCCCCCTCTTACCTCCCTTTTTCCTTCTCCCAGCCTAAAGCTGCCTTCCCTTAGTTGGTCCTCCTAGGCTCTCTCTATTCCTACATTAGCCCTCCCCGTCTCCTCCATGCTTTGGACCTTATCTTAGTGTCAGGAGGAAGGCAATGCTGGGGCAGCCACTGAAAAGGGAGGCAGGGTGGTAAAGGGAGGAGGGACTTTCAGGCATGGGGAGGAGGGGAAGAAGTTGAACTCAGCTGAGTTGAGGCCGAGGAGTCTTTTTGGTGTTCCCCGCATCAAACCCGAAGCCACCAAATTATTTCCCCTCTCTTCTCAGATCTGCAAGCCTGGATTTGAGATTTTCTATTCCCTAAGCAGCAAAGCCTTTGCTATTCAAATCAGTCTTCAATGTGCCACTTAATGGCCAGGAAGCTGACCTCTGGTAATTTCTCATCCAAAATATGGTCCAAGTGGAAAGGCACATCAGGTGAAGGGGCAGGCC